GCAACCTGTCACTTCGAGTAAACCTACCAGTTCACGGCAGCTCTCCTCTTAAGGAAGTTATGCTAGAAGTTCCTCCGTAGCTAGGCTGCAGCTGTTTCGATGAGTCTTTCATATCCTAATCTTGGATTTTTTGGTAAGCATTTCTTGGATTTTTATGATTGAGTTCCTGGTTTCATATAAAAAGAAATCCTGTTGTCTTCATAATATCATTGATACATTAAGACTTCTTATTTATTTTCTTAGTGTATAGAATTTGGTTCATTTTTTTCTCTTAATAATATTAATTTTTGGAGTCCACGAAATTTTAGATTTTATGGGACTGACCTTTTTTAAAACTTGCAATCTAGCCATGTACCATCCTAGAATTTATTTTCATAGGATTCTTCCTTGAATTTTGTATTTCTTTGTATTTTGCATATTACAAATTCCTTCCTTATGGTTGTCATTCTCATTTTCTATAGTCCATTCTTAAGAGAAGCTTCTCCAGAAAGGATATGTGAGAGATACATTTTCTCGTTTTTAGAATATTTGAGCATGTATAATTTCCCCTCACCATTTGTTGAGAGTTTGTCTAGATAAATAGGATTTTTTGGGTCTCTTCTAGTATTTATTGTTTTGTTTTTCCCCCACACCTGGGAATCCTTGGTCTTAGTTCTCATTTTGACATGAAGGTTTAGCTTGATCATCTTAGACAGGTGGTGGGGAGTTCTATGCAGCTATGTAAACAGATCTGTTAACTTCACAGTGTCTCCCCTAAAACAGTGTTACCTAGGAGCTCAATGTGTGAAGCTGGCTGTCATGCTGTGAGACCCCAGTTCCCAAAATAAGTGGGTTAGGAATATTTAGGGAGCATCTTTAGCATTCCCAAAAGCAGTCATTCAATTATTTTAAATAAATCATCTGTCTTGTTGCCCTGGAAATCTGTCTGTTGCTATTCTATACTATGGTAAGGGAGGGAAAATACTTGAGTGTGGGTGCCTTAATATACAATATTAATCACTATTTCCAGCTTCACTTCTTCTCATTCCCATTTTCTGGGGTTTGACCTAGTCATTTATTTGCCTCCTTTTGTGTTCTACAGAAGCACCTGCAACATGTTTCTTTTATACAGCTGTGTCCATTTTTTGGTTACTATAACAAAATGCCAAAGACAGACTGACTTTATAAAAACATTCATGTAGCTCACAGTTCTAGAGTCCCAAGGTCATTGCATTGGCATCAGCTCTCCTTTTTGGTGAGGACCTCATGGCAGACGGCAAGAGCAAGTGTGACAGGGAGCGATCATATCACCAAACAGGAAGCTGGAGAATAGCAGCTGAGTCCCAGAATCCTTTCTGAGGGCAGCACCCCAAGTTGACCTAAGGGGCTCCCACGAGGCTCCATCTCTTAAAGGTTCTATACCCTCTACACCACCAAACTGGGGACAAAGCTTCCATTTGTGTAACCTTGGGGTACCCAAATTACATTGAGGCCTTAGCAAGCACTTTTCCCTAACTGTCTTCCTTTCACAGCACGTTTTCATCCAATTCCTTTTTCCATAAGTATGTTTAAGTCACCTGACTGCTGATGGCCCCTCTTCCATTCCCTTAGGTGTCACTGGTTCATTTCCTCTGGTATTTCATGTTATTGGGATTTCAGAAGGGAAAAAGAGAAGCTTATGTACTCATTCACTGTCTTGAACCGGAAGCCTCCCATGATTTTTTTAAGTGAAGAGTGTAGAAATTCCCTAACCAATACCCATTAGAGTATACAACTTAAGGTTAGGTGATAGGATTTATTGTTAAAAATAGCCAGTATGCCTGGTAATTGGTGCAATAAATTTCACAGAATGTTTATCAGTAGTTTTATAGCTCTTACTAAGTAAAGCAGGTGTTCAAATGTTTGGTCTCAGTTAATTTGCCAATAGCGTGTTAACGTACATCATGATAAACTCTTGACTATTGTAGTTTTCTCACAAGTGTCAAGTATTAAAAGGAAGAAGGATTTTTGAGGGTTTAGATTTTTGACACTTTAATAATTTATAATAATGTCAAATTACCTTGAATAGACAGTTAATTCTTTGAAGAGCAAGATTTGAAGAACTGGGAAAGGATAAGAGTAACATGTGTAAGGGTTATATTATACTTGGCTTCATTTCTCCCGGGAGCAAGAAACTCTGAATCTAATGCCCCACCCCATTCTTTTGTCTAGGAAAATCAGAAAGTTAAGAAAGATCTTTTAGAAGCACAAACAAACATAGCCTTTCTTCAGAGTGAACTAGATGCTTTGAAAAGTGATTATGCTGACCAGAGTCTAAATTCTGAGAGGTATGAAACTTTGCATTTTATTTTTCAGTTTGGATGGAATATTTTTTGAGATGATTATCACGGGGGTTGAAGCTTGGTTATGTGATCTATGCAATAATAAAGGGTTTTGCATTAACTTTGCTGATGTGTTCTATAATATCTAAGGATTGTACTTTGAGTGACAGATTTCCTAAGTTTTGTGTATTGGTGTGTTTAATTAAAAGAAATCAGATTAATTGCTTGAATTAGTGCCTGCTTAGGACAGTGCAGGGCTTAATAAAGTTTGTATCAACCAGGAGCTAGAAGAATATACCTAAAGTATCAAGAGTCTATGCTTGTTGAAATGCTTTCCCAGTAGGAATCCTGGCTTACAACATAAGAACCACAAGAGTAGTCCTCTTAATTTTGTTTTTCTATGCTTTTGTTTTGCAAGCTGATATTAATAACATAAAACYTAATACACAGAGACATGTTTATACATAAGAGGTATAAACATTTGGGGAAAATGTTTTTTGTTTGCAAACTTTAATCAGAATTAAGTTCTTGTAATAGAAAACAACAAAGCATTTATTAAGTATGTTATACATAGATCCTCAGATCTAGAGGAGTTATAAGTTTGGATATATAAAATAAAAGATAAAGATAAGGTCTCTGCTTTTCAAGAACTTTAAATTTAGTTGGGAAAATAAAAAAAGTTTACAGAGGTAAACAATGTAAGAGCTAAACAGTGTCGGAAACAGTACTACTTTCAGTGCCATGTTTGGGGTTAACTGCCATGTGATTACAGAAGAAATTTTCTTTTTATTCAATCTTCCTTAAAGAGGATGCATGAGGCTAGGGCAGGTGGAAGAGCAGGTTTGTGTCCTCAAGGGCAAAGAGGCAGCAGTGATAACAACTAAAACCGGTAGCAGTGCTGTCTGCCAGGCGTTGTCTTTTGTACTTATAGTACCACTCAGTCCACTAGGGACCTTCCTTATCTCCATTTTATGGACGGGAAAAGAGAGTCTTGGAGATGTCCCAGGTAAGGCATTGAGCAAACCAGAACATAAGAGAGGAATGAGACGGGTTAGGGGAAAAGCAGACAGACAAAAAGAGATAACTTTGGATGGAAAAATGAAAGTTTAAAAACAAAACATGAAAAAGGCTATAGTGTAAGGACCCAGAATTTTTGTCTAAGGGACTTAAATTCTTATAGACAACCGGGAAACTTTTAGCTTTATCAACCAGGGAGTAACAAGATTGCTTATTTTGGAGAGAGCTTGATGGCCTAAAGAGGTTTGGGAAGCTGCTGATGGGTTTGTCTGCTTAACAATGGTACAGTCTGAAGAGGAACTCAGGGCTTCTGTAATGAAAGCAACAGGGATTGCAGTGTGTTTCTCTCATTAGCCCAGAAAGCCAGGTTCTGTAGATTCCCCTGTGACTTAGGGTGAGTAGGAGGGTCAGAGCAGGTACTCAGGATGAGGTGGGAAAGGAGGAAATAAGAGGAGCTGGGATTAGATAAGGCTTGGAGAGGGCAGAGAAGGTTCTGAGAAGGATTAAAGATTAAAGTACCATTACTTTCCAGAAAGGGAACTTTTTACCATGACTGCCCAGGAGGGGGAACTCCAGGGCAGAGTTCAATCCCAATGAGAAACAGAGGCAGGCCAGCTGGTGGGTGCTGAGCAATGGGTGAGGAGGGGAAGCTCCACATTTATGATGTCAGATATGGGGCAGAGCTTTGCACAAGGAAGCACAGGTTGTGGGTGAGCCCATAGGGAAGGAGAGGAGGCTGCTGACACTACAGGGCACAGAGCAGGAGGACTGGGAGAGAGAAGATGGTGGTCAAGGACACATGACTTTTGAAAGGTCCAAAAGGACCTGGGAGGTTAGTTATAGATCAGGCAGGACTTGACATCTAATTCTTATTTCAACACAAAATATAATTTTACAGGGATCTGGAAATAATCCGAGAATACACAGAAGATCGAAATAGTCTTGAGAGGCAAATTGAAATTCTCCAGTAAGTTCTCATATAAAATGCTCATTGCACTTGCATTTTAGTTATTTTTTGCTAATAACACACATGCTGTGTATTATACGATTTGCCATATTCCAAAGTCCAGATGGGCTTGAAGGTCAGTGTATGTTTCTTCTCACTGTGCTGCATTCATCATGTCTACTCAATTTCTGAAGCGTTTAATCCTAAATAAATTATTCAAGTGCAGGGAACAGAGCATAGTTATTAATAGTCTTGCAAGTTAGGTGGTATGTTTAGCATGTCTTTATTATGCCTCTGTAATGAGCAACGACCCTGACCTCAGCTTTCTTTGCAGCTCTGCACACAGAGCTTGTCAGCCTTTCACATTGGTGAGTGGTGAGTGACACAGAAAAAGCCTATGTCACTATTCTTTCTCAATTTATTATGCTTATTTAGAGGCATATTTTTCTTAGGATTTTTTTTATTCCTCTTCCCAAGAAATGCTCTACCCATTCTGTCAACTTCATTGCTACGCTGTAGTAATTTCATTTCCTGATGTCTTTCCCACAAAACAGTGACCTTCTCTTCCCCTTTCATCCTTTTCCACCTCTGCAGCATTCTGTTTTCATTTTACCAAATGAAGTAATGTCAAGATTGACAAGGTGTTTCCTTCACCATTTTTGAATATTTATTAAGTCTCTCCTGCAAAATTGTGGAGTCCATAAATTTGTCCACCATCCATCCATTCATTCATTCATTCAGTAGATTTTTCAGTCAGCAATTTTTATGGGTCAGATATGCCAGGAACTGTGGATAGAGTAGCAAGTAAGAGGAAAAAAAAAATCTCTCTTCTTATAGGACTAGTCTAGAGAAGAAATGTGGAAACTGGTTGATAGAAATAAATACAAAATACCAGGTGAGAGAATGGATAATAAAGGAAAGTTGCTTATTCCCTAAGGGAGCTCTGGCCTGCCCAAGAAGGTCAAAGATGTCTTCTTGGAGGAAGTGATAATTGAATTGAGCAAAAATGAAGTGGCCATAAGCAGGGAAAATTAGCCACTCTGTGAGGCAATAGTTCTGTTCCTCATTTTGTAGCTGGGGAAGGCTCTGATGCGAAGGGCCTTTCATCGGGTCATATGGAAGTACTTCAGTTAGGATTTGAATCCAAATCTGTCTGAGATCAGGATCCAAGTGTTTACTTGGTACACAAGTCCCACTACTCCATGGGTAGGTTGAAGGAGTAGCAAGAGGATAATGTACCCATGCCTGGCCATGCTTGGCCACTGGGATGTGTGAACTGGCTGTCTGGGTTCAGGCATTTGGGAAACAGAGACCTGCATGAAATAAACAGGAAAGGTACCTGAAGGAAGAGCGGATTCCACCTCTTAGCTAATTCATTTCTAAAATACCTCAAGATATTTAACAGAGATAACTAATCAGTTGTTGTATTTCAGATATTGAATTGTGATCTCAGATTCTGAGGTTTGAAGGGGAATGGGAGAAAGCTGCAAAGGGTGACAAGTAGTTCTACATTCTGAACATCACTGACTAAAGAAAGTGCTAATACAGATCCCCACTAACACTTTGCCTATCTAGAACAGCTAACCGGAAGCTGCATGACAGTAATGATGGCCTCAGGAGTGCCCTTGAAAACAGTTACAGCAAATTCAACAGATGCTTGGTATGCCATAACATTTTGTAATTCATCTTGCTAGTGATTGAATAATTTGGAAGTGGTGAAATCATGCAATATGTTAGTGGAGAATTTCACATGGATCTTATAATGAGAAAGCTCAAGAAGCTCTCTCCAAAAAATACAGAGAGCAGTTTTCTAAATTAAAAATATGCTACCCATCTACAGAAATAAATGCCTTGGTGTTAACCAATTCTTAAGTTTCTAAGAAAATAGAGAAAGACATATATGATCTTTGACCTTGAAGAGTTTATAATGTAACAGGTAGTTAAGATGTATACATATGGGTAGCAATAATATAAGAAAAAGTTGGGAGGCTCATGGTGTTAAAAATATTGTTTTGCCAATTAAGAGGAGCAGAATCACTAGGGGGTGAGTTTAGACATGTTGAGTATTCTTTATGATAGGGAGATCATCGGATTGACAGTTATTTGTATGTGTGTATAAAATGCTTGCATGGAATATTAAAAATGTATTGTATCTAAGTGCATAAATAACCTATCACCAGGAAAATGATTCCAAATGCTACAGGGTAAGCATTTGGAATTTTGAGGACCTTCCCAATATTGCATTTGTCTTGAAGCCTCTTATTACACTTTTGAGGGTCAGCTTAAGCATAAGATTCCAATGTCAGTCACTAAGTCAAGTTATGGTTCCAGAAGAGATATGTCCAAGGAAGTTGATGTTACAGTGTCCTGGAAAATCTGGGTAACCTGGATAGTCTCTGTGGAATTTGTAGTAGAGTATGATCTTAAGATCTGATGACTGTGGTCATCAGCTGCAATTTTTCAATTGAATTTCATGTTCACATTTGCTCATGTAAGATACCAAACTTTCAGTTACATTAGAAGTTAAATTGGGTGTATGTGTATAAAATGTTTACAAGGAATATTAAATATTTATGTATTGCAGCGCATAAATAATGTATCACCAGGGAATACGATATCTAGAAGCAGTCCCAAATTTAATGGTCATTCTCTTCAACCTCTGGGATATGACAGGTATGTTAATACTTGTTTATTGTTTTGAGTTCTAGATCAAAGTTAAAATGAGGACAAATTTCCTTGAGGTGAATTAAAATAATGGAATATATTTTGGGCACTAATTTATATTTTCTGTGATATTACTTTAAGCTTCTAAAATGTGAACCATGTCAAAACTATAAGAAAAAATGTTTCAGAGAGTGAAAAATTACTTCCTTAAGATGCTATGACTTGTTTTAGAATAAAGATGTTATACTTGCACAAGTATTGAGAGAGAATAGTGGCTAAATCACCTTTTTAGTTAATTTTAAAAATTTTGCTAATGGCTCAAAAATGTTTTTGTCTCCTCAGGTTTATATGCTTCTACTTATTTACATTAAGATCACCCTTTCTCTTCTAAGTATATCTTATCTCTTCTTATTTCTTCCATTTGAAGACCATCTACCCTTCCCAATCTCCTTTGCTATAAGTCATGTAGGCAGAGTGCTAGAATGGTGCATGGGTATGTGGTGGGAGTGCTAAATAAATCCTAGCCATTGTTTTATTTCAAAATGAGCTTTGATTCTTATGAAAAAGGAATAGCAAACTAGGAAAGTATGCAATTTCTTTGAATTATCTTGCTTGATGTTAGTTTTTCCCCCACCCATAAAATATTAGATTTTCACAAATGGAAGGATCCACTGAAGTAAGAAATTCTAGGTTTGTCTGATGAAGCATCTTCTAAAAGGGCCTTTCCAGCAAATGTGTCAACATGGAGTGACAGAAAACTCATCTCATGTCAGAGCATTCTGGTAGCACACATTTCTCATTGCCTGTCATCTTCACCATGTTGATCCGAAATCTGACTCCCAGAAAGCTTATCAGTTAATCCTTATTTTGTCTTATGCAACTTTAGAATACTTAGAAGAGTTCTCCTTTATTTGTCCTCTCTTGAAGTATTTGAAGAGAAAACCCATCAAGACTTGAGTACAGTGAACTAGTCCATGTATCTGAGGCAACTATCCAAGCCTGGTTTATAGCATCCCCTTTAAATAGAGATGTTGTCCAAAAACAGAGACACTATTCAGAATATGGTCTTGATCACATTGAAGTAAAAAGGCTCATGTTCTATGTCCATTTTTATTAATGTGGCTTGAGATTGCATGTGGATCTCTTTAATATCAGGAAACAAAGAAGGTGATTTTGCTTATTTTGGAGGGTACTGGGTATTGAACTCAGGGATGCTTGACCACTGAGTCACATCCCCAACCCTAGATTTTGTGTTTTATTTAGAGACAGAGTCTCACTGAGTTGCTTAGTGCTTCACTTTTGCCAAGGCTGGCTTTGATCTCACAATCTTCCTGTCTCAGCCTCTCAAGCCACTGGGATTACAGGCATGTGCCACCACAACAGACCCTCTGTTGCTTTGAACATTTCATTTCTCTGATGCTTCATCATGGCTCTTGGAAATTGAAGATGCTGGTATTCTTGACCCCATCCCTGACAGTCTGTCACCTGTGCATTTTTGAGAGTTGCAAGCTCCCAGGTAAAACAGTCTCTTCTTTCATTACCAGGTCATCCCGCTCTTCGTATGTGGATGAGGACTGTGACTCATTGGCCCTCTGTGATCCTATGCAGAGGATGAATTATGAAGTTGACAGCCTGCCTGAGAGCTGCTTTGACAGCGGCTTGTCTACCCTGAGAGATCCCAATGAGTACGACTCTGAAGTGGAATACAAGCACCAGCGGGGATTTCGGAATTCACAGAGGGTGCAGGAGAACTGTGCCGGTGATGCTTCAGACATGGATGTAAGCCGAGAAACCACTGCCCTCCGAGGCCTGCCTTGGATTGGATTGTTTCACCATCTTCAACTTGTATCTGTCATAAGAATCTGTTATAAATGTCATAAACTTGAAGCTTAGTCAGTAGTGTTTTGGTTTTCCATCAAATTAGGAAGAAGTTCTCATAGATTTGCCATTCGAGGCTTCTCTATTCCATAAAATCATTGGCTGTAGATTGAACTAGATAGTTTTCTTCTCTTTAATTCATGATGTATATGTGTAATGAAGGCTTTATTTTTAACCGTTTTTTACAAAACAGGTTCCTGATATAAGGGATGAAGAAACATATGGTTCAGAAGGTGTGGCTTCTGTTTTAGACTGGAAGTCCCAAGGGTCTATTAGTGGAGGCAGCATAGTCAGTTCTTCAAGAAAACCCATCTCTGCTCTTTCACCCCAGGTAGGTAGCTTCCAAGACACTACCCTTCGTGAACACTAATAATTTTCTGTGCCATGGTACTTATTTAAGAAGAAAACTGGCACTACCCTTATCACCCACTGTGGCGTCTTTCCTCTAGACAGATGTGGCAGGTGATAACTCCAAGTCTGCTAGTTCACAGAAGGCTTACAAGATTGTGCTTGCTGGGGACGCTGCAGTGGGGAAATCCAGTTTCCTCATGAGACTTTGCAAGAATGAATTTCGAGGAAACACAAGTGCCACATTGGGTATGGCCCCTGATTCATTTGGTAATGGGAAGATGAACTTCTTAGCTTGGTTTTCTTTTTTTTTAGGGATTATATACACAGATACACAGACACAACTCTCTCTCTCTCTCTGTATACTTTCAAATATATATATATATATTGTGTGTGTGTGTGTGTGTGTGTGTGTGTCCCCTTGTCTACAGAATGGTTCTGTGTTTTGGGTAAAATCTCACATTATTGAGGAAAACTGATAAATGACAGCAGTATCTATTTAGCCTGTCATATCAAACAATCCAAGTGTAGAGCTGGAGATGTTGGATTCGTTTATTTAGCGTAGGTATCCTAAGTCCCACCTAGAGGCAGGCTCTATTGTAGGTGCTAAGGACACAAAATGAAGAAAGCTGACTTAATCCCAGCCTGTAGAGAATTTATATCCCAATGGAGAGGAATAGACTAAAGGGGGGAAAAAAACTTAAAAGCATGAAATTTGGAAAAAAGTACAGGATTATGCAAGGTGGCCAGGAAAAGTCTTTCTGATAAGATGTTGGCGATATTGCTGCAGTGACAGTATTGGTGACCAGTTTGTCACTATGGTCAGAATCAAAGCCAGATGTATGCTTCCATCTTCTGTCTCTACATTAGCAACAAAATAAGTTTTATCTAGATGTCCCAAATTTACATAATAATCAGTAAAAGGAGTCGAGGATATAAAAATTATCATATTTTTCTTCTTTATTTAAAGAGTTTTTTGTTTGATAACCAGAAATGTTAGAACATATTGATTGCCCTTTTCACAATGGGTGACTTTGTACATTTATAGGGTATATTCTCTGATACACCTTTGAAATAATAAACCTGAAAGTTCACTAGTTCATAAACAGACTACACAGTATTTGGTTTGGTTGCTAGAGACCATAACATGTACACAGGTGTAAATTTATGTGTGTAATCACAGTGTACCATATGTACATGCATAAATGTATGCATGCACACATACACACAAAACTACATATACATGTACAATATTATGTGTGTTCTTATGTATACAATATACATAATATACATGTATACACGCATAGGCCTACACATACACATTTATACATATCAGTTATATACATAACACACATGTACATATATGTATACATATACAACATGCACATTCTTACGTGTATGTACACTCACATGCACATACACACACACACACACACACAAATATGACAGTCATCTAATCATCTGTGAAAACAGAACATAGATGTTCCGTTTTCCATAGATAAAGCCCTTCCCCACATCAGCCAGTCTGCAGACAGGGTATCTGTATGCATATGTGTGATCTGACTTACAATTAGTATTTGAAGTTCACTCTCTTGAAGGCTGTGTTCATTCCTTTCTACCTCACTGAGCTTTGGTTTATTGGCTCTTCTCTCATCTTAAAAGAGGGTTCGAACGTAGCAAGCTAATGGAATGATTTACTCTCTTCTCCACCCTCATATTTCTTTTCAGGAGTTGATTTTCAAATGAAAACTCTCATTGTAGATGGAGAGCAAACAGTTCTGCAGCTCTGGGATACAGCTGGGCAGGAGAGGCAAGTGCTTTTCATAATGCTTCAGACTCCACTTAGTTTTGCAAAAACGAGCCTTATAGGATGCTTGGTGTTTTTTATATTCATAATTACATAATATTAGTAGACCTTTTAATTATATTTATATTACATTAGTATTAATTATAAGTTATATTATAATCTCAGTAATGCTCACCTTCTTCCATGCCCCTCCTTGAGGTGAGTGTCAGTTGTGTGAGAAGAGGGCATGTAAGCTTCTTTTGAGCTGATGTTCATGTGCAACTAGAAGAGTGCACTTTCCTAACAGGGGAATCTAAGTGAGGCACCACTCCTGAATGCAGCATCAGAGTGAGGAGCTACTTAGCTGTGCAAAAATAAATGGTGGAGAAGAGAACTTGTCTGCCTACCCTCCCACTGAGTTCAAGTTCAATGATACAAATTTGCTTTCATTGCCAATACAAATCTTGCATTCGTTGCATTCAAAAGTATAAAGAATATAGGTTTTAAACTTATCTAACCCTTTGAAATTACATAATTGTTTAACAAATAAGAATGGAATGTGTGCCTCTGTCCAGGCACTTGATTCATTCAGTGTTCTGAGATTAATTGATCAGGTGGACACAAAGACATATCCTCATGTAGCTCAGAGTCTTAATGGAATTTTAACATTTTAAAGATGTCCGTGGTTGATATAACCCTAGATAAAATAATTCTCTGTTTAACCTCCTCTATGTCCTACCTGTGAAGTTGACATTTTTAAAAATTGTACTTCTCTGTTAATGTGGTTCTGCTTTGGGGTTAGAGATTCTTGGGATTGTTTAGTGGAAAAAAAAAATTGGCTTTTCTAAATCAGTCACCCATACCTGTATCCTGTTAACTTTCACTGGTTCATTTGAAGCTGTAGAGATGGCCACTTCACAGCAATACATTGCTGTTAGAGTCTCAAATGGGGCTGATTTTAGAAGATGAGAAAACAAAAAATGAGTGTAAGGGAAATGAAGAATGAAGCAGCACCCAGCTGATGGAGTCACAAGGTGCTTTCTGTTTCCCAGATTCAGGAGCATTGCCAAGTCTTACTTCAGGAAAGCAGATGGAGTTTTGCTGCTATATGATGTCACATGTGAGAAAAGCTTTCTTAATGTACGAGAATGGGTAGATATGATTGAGGTAAGGAATCAAAATGAAGAAACAGAAAATTACGTGGAGGAGTTATAGACTTAGAAAATGCTATTGCTCTTTGTGGGGGTGAACTTGACTAGAAGCCTTTGATCCAAGCTGTCAGGAAGAATGGTGTACTGGAGGCAGAGTTTCCAGTGGCCCTTGGCAGCATTGGTCTCTTCCCGGGAATTGCATAAGTTCTCCCAAAGCCACAGACACTACTGAAGGTAACTTCTGGGAATAAAACTTCCGGGTTCTCTTATAGATAATATTGGAACCCTGTGTACCAAGTGAGAATGCACTGAGGAGAAGCAGCTTTCCAAACAAGATGGGGGTGTGGTTGGATGTATACTGTGGTTAAACATGTGTCGGAGCTTCCACGTGGATTAAGACATAGGTGAAACACCACCCGGATGTGAGCATGAGTTGAGGCCTGAAGGCTACAGCAGCTATGTTCTCAACCTTATTTTGGTTGTGATGTGGGGTCTTTTGACACCACAGGTACCTCTAATATACCAGTTGGTATTTTAACTTGTGGGATAATATCTGTGGTGAAGTAGGTTTGTGTCTTTCATCTAAGGAGCTTTCATATCATTTGGTTTCATGCTAAATGATTTTTAAAAGTAGGAAATGATTTTGGTCACATTTAATGTGCTGTTAACAGTTATTAATCAACGAAAGTGTGGTTCAAGCTATGGTTCAGAACACACTTGAAAAATAAACTAGCAGCTAATCTAACTTTTCAAGTTAGTAGGTTATCTATAATTTTAAACAGACCTTAAACGCCAGTAGTGGATAAGCAGGACTGATTGCAGTCTGGTGTTAAGTTAACCTCTGGAGTTACATTCTCTAACTAGAAAAGTAATAAGAGAAATGACTGACTGTGGTTGGCAACAAGATGTCAACAATGATGAATAAATATGTACTTTGTTCTGCCAAAATTTCCTGACCTACTATCATTTTGCATGCAGTGAAATGTGTTCACATTTATGTTATATTTTGACTTCACAAAGTTTTCTATATGTTATGCTAACCTCTCTAACATCTGAGAAAGGAAGTTAGAAATGTACTATTGTCTCTTATAACGAGAAACCTGAGGCATAGAAAGTATATGGCCCTTGCTTACATTTATTTAGCAGTTAGAGGCTCAGCACCAGAGTGAGCAGCAGATGAATAGAAGTCTTTAATGAGTAGAAAGGAATTCAAAAGTACAGGAGAGGCATCTGCTCAAGAAGAACAAATAGAGTTCCCTGGGCTGGAGAAGTAAGATCTGAGCAAAACGTTTTATTGTTGAAGTTTGGGGCTTAGTCATCATTTTAAATGTTTGCATTATGCTCAAGAAAAGAAGGCACAAAAGGCAAGGTTGTTCTCAATGAAAAAGCTCTTACATAAAGTGGCACAGCTATTGCTTGCTGAGCGCCTGCACATGGTAAGTACCCTTTCAGCCATCAGTATCACCTTTTCATAGGGTCTCAAAAGGAAGAAAATGTCACGCAAGATGAATTCTTAAATTTATTACAGGAGGAAAAAATAGATACCATATGGAATTTGAATTCTGCCTTAGAGAATGGGCACAATGAAGCTTCTCCACAGCTTCATCTAATTGAGGCAATTCTATGGACCATTTATATGATCACAATAAATTGGGTGGAAATGAGTGGTTCCATCACTAAACAGGCCAGAGGACAGAGAAGCACTAGACTGTCGGTGTGAACCGACCCTTTGAATTGATGGTTGCTATACTTCGATTGAAAGCTGCTAGATTACAAAATCTTATTAACAGAATCATGGATAAAATGAAATTATAACTTTTTACTTTTTTACTGATTGAATGTTTAGGTCAAAACTGAATGGAGAAAGATACTTGCAATGTGAGATCTGATCCTGACTTTCACATATTAGAAAAAAGAATTTTTGTTTTTAGTTTCTTCCTCCTCTTTACACATATGTTCTGTGTTTGGGGGATGTATCTGATGGTAAAAGTAAGAGCCTTGTCCTATGAAGCTTGTATTTTAGTGGGGGAGTCAGATAACAAGCAACAACCATAAGGAAATAAAAGAGATAGTCTGATAGTAAGTGATAAATGTTATAGAAACAAAAGGAGAAGCAGGCTGCAGTTTTCACTGTGTGGTCACGGCAGCTTCAGCTTMACCAAGAAGGTGATGTTTGGGTCAAGACTTGAAGGAGGTGCCACTTTTCACCTGTGTGACTCTGGGGAGTCATTTAGATGCTTAGCTTCATGGCTACTTAAGTGAATATTGATTAATGACTTCCTGTTGAATTCTGAGATCGCTAAAGAATACAATTCATGAGCACATGAAAGGGTAGAGCAGCTAGTTTTTGGAAGGACATTTTTCTTCCTTCTCCCCTTTGCTTTCTCTGTATTCTGATGCCTTCAATCAGAGACAAATTATCTGAAGAGAAAGGAAATCAAATATAATTTCACTTTAAGGCTCTTGTCTTGATCCTGTATCAGGTATAGCACCAAACTAAATGAGTCTCCCGAGATCTTTAGGCAGAGAGTAATTTCCACATATTTGTGTCAGGGCTTCCACTTTTTCTTGTTTAGGAGACAGAATCCTGTTTTTCTTGGCTAGTCAGGTTACTGTCTTTTGTTGTCATCATAGCCGCTGAGGTAGACTATGCTCTCAATAACCTTTTCAATTTATAGAGAAGGAAATTGAGGCAGAAGCCTAAGAGTACTTGACTATTCTTACATAGCCCGTGAGGGACCAGGTGCTGGGAAGAGTAGGTGCTGAGTTAGCTTTGCACTCATACCTTAGGGTCAGTGTTGCTCTGAATGCTGGGAAGCTGTGGCATTTTTCATATGCTGATAAGCTCTAGCCTTTGGATCTATTACTTTGAATGTCCAGCAGTGGATTCTTATGAAAACTGTTGACCTTTAGGACTTTATATTTTGCTTTTATTGGAAACCAGAGAACGGTGAATGGTGAACTTTTGAACCCCGTTTTTCTCATGACAGCTAAAGAATTACTTGTGTTTTGCACCTGTGATAATGAAGTTGACTAGGATTCATCATTGTTTGAAGTGAAAGCTGTAGAAAATTATGTCGATGCCCAAGCCAAAAATAATTCTGTGGTCATGCTTCTTAAGTTTATATTGGTTTGTCATGCTCTGTGTGCTAGAAATGAGAAATTAGCAGATGCATGTTTCCTTTGCTATAAAGCTGATTAATCCCAGTGCCTTTTACCCTTTTCATTAACCTAAGGATGCAGCATTGTATAATAGGGGGATTTGAGGTAACTTTGAACCTGGGTCCTAGGCCTAATATGTTCTTATTTGACCTCTCTGAATTTCAATTTTCTTACCAGTCAATGGCGGGGCGGGGGGGGGGKGGGTAAGGCTAGCTGAGCTTAAAGATATTTTGAGGTTTAAAGATACTATTTCAAGTATAACAAATAATTATTATAATTGACAATCTAAGAGTTGTACAGTGATAATAAGTGTGCTCTTTATTCTACTGAAATGTGACTTAACATGACTTTGAATGCATTGAAAGCAGCTTGTATTCATGTAACATTTTTTTCAAGAAATTCTGAAAATATCACCTGACATACAAGTGGACAGTGGCAGCCGCTACTGCTGTTACCAACAAATATCATTTGACATACAACTGGACAGTGGCAGCTGCTACTGCTGTTACCATTGTTACTGTTGTCATTGTATTTGTCCAATGTCTGATGTGTGCCCATTTTTCTTTCTTCTTGGTAGGATGCAACCCAAGAGGCTATTCCTATCATGTTGGTAGGAAACAAGGCTGATCTTCGTGACACTGCTACTTCAGAGGGTCAAAAATGTGTGCCTGCGTATTTTGGAGAAAAACTGGCCATGGTAAGAGTGAGGGTGGGTCCAAATTGAAAAAGAATCTAGGGGTTCAGTAGCGTTGGGGTCAGTGGCCTTTCACTTTTGTCTACCTTTGCTTACGAGGTTCTTTGGTAAACCTCCACCCTGTTTGATGGGGTGATGGACTGTCCTTACCCAGTGGAACTCCCAGAACCCTACGTTCCTTGCACAAATGTAAGTAATGATGGCAAGGAGCAAATCCATGGTGGAAGGAAAACAGTCACAGAATCCTTTTCCCCCATTGAGTATCGTTGACAGAGAGCCAAAACAATCTTGCCGTCTTCCTTTGCCCTCTCACCCAGTTCCTGGAATCCTTCTCTAGTCCTGGAATCTAAGTAAGGGAGAAAGAATGAGTGTTCTATTTTGAAATGGTGGGTTTGGTTCCAGAGGGTGACCATGCCAAGGAGCAGAAGATACAGCAGCATTTGACCTAGTGGGAAGAGAATCAGAGGGCTGCTGCTTTTTTTTTTTTTCCTCGAAGATTTGTGCTTAGTTGGAACAGTCTCACATTATTTTTGGATATGCATTTGTATAGAGGAGTAAGTTCATTCCTGTGCTGAATATTAACATGGGAAAAGTTCCTCCCTGGTTACTATGGCTGTGTCAGAATGCTGCATAGCCTTCTCATCACTTGTCTAACCCATACAAGAAATCAGCTGCACCTGGGGTCAAGTAAGTTCACACYGTGACAGTCTGGTGGGATGTTAGTATTGCTATCTGTTCTCAGAACCAGGAAGGGACTACTCGGAAGCATATGAGTGTGAGCTTTAAAAAGAAGTTTTATTTTAGTTTGGGTTGTGGCTCAGCAGTAGAGCACTTGCCTAGCACCTACAGAGCACTGGGTTTGATCCTCAGCACCACATAAAAATAAAATAAACGTATTGTACCCAACCACAACTAAAACAAAACATTTAAACAATATATATTTTCTAGTTTAGGTTAGAAAATCTTGTTTTAAACCTCAGAACTGAAAACCAGTTGTAATAAACATCAAAAAGTAGATAAGGAAATGCAGAAGCAATTGATTAAGGCACCTGCTTAAATGTATCCACCGTGAAACAAAAATCAAAGAGGAAATTAGAAGACAGAGCAACATGTTTGTCCTGGTGTCGTTTATTGTCTGGGAAAGGTATACATGGAGACTCCATAGTCCATGGGCCAGAAGCTCTTCCACACAGCCCTTTGAAATCTAGTAATTCTTATCTGCCTGGTAATTTTATTCTTCACCAGATTTCTTTTTTTAAAATTTTTTTTTAATTTTTTAGTTGTAGCTGGACACAATCCTTTTATTTATTTTTATGTGGTGCTGAGGATCGAACCCAGGGCCCCGCCTGTGCTAGGCAAGCACTCTGCCTCTGAGCCACAACCCCAGCCCCTCTTCACCAGATTTCTAAAGTTTTCTTCTTCAAGCATCTTCTGCCTTCCACCATCCTGTATCCTCAAAGACAGTCTCTGTTTCACCTTATAACATCCTGGGTGTTAAAGTCAATACCAGTACTGTTTCTACTTGACATACATTCACTTTATGATGTGTACATTTTTTTATGGACTTGGGGGATCCTAGATATAGGTCCCATTGTGGAATTTGTTCCCTTTCTCAACCTCTTCTTTCTTTCTCCCTGCTCCAGAGCAACCATCAAATCCTCCCCTTGTCCCACACAGGAATATTTAACCCACATCTAGACCCGTCGTAGCCTATCCAGTTCTCCTTTATTAAGAGAAAAATATCTCCAGCTTGTTAGACAAATAAATAACTGTCTTTGGTGGCAGATGCTATGTTATTTGTTGGCAAATGCTATGCAGAAAAAATAGTGAGTGTTTGAGGTTTTATGATACGAAGACCTTGTATAGACTTTTCAGGTTTAGAAACAGCTTAATCTTAACTTCGATAAGGGAGTGTTACCTAAAAATCCAAAAAGTAGGCAGGACTCTGGTGAAGGCATAGTGGAGGGAAAGGTAGCCTAAGGTCATGGGATCAGTACAAATTTGGGGAACTGGAGCTATTTAGGGAAGGCCAGGGTAACTGGAACTTTGTAAGTATGGAGATAGGGTAGAAAGCAAACTGGGACATTGGCAGGCACTTGTTGGCCATGGGAAAGCATTTGAACATTGCTTGAAGAGGAATGGGAGGCATTGGAAGGTTTGAGCGATCATATAACTAATGCTGAGAGGTTAATTAAGAGAGGACTAAAAAATGTCCACTGGTTTTAGCAACAAGGAGACTGCTGGATCCTCAGAGAAACGATGATAGTGTGAAGGTGGCCAAAAGCAAACCTGCTTTGATGAATACTTAATTCCTGTGTGGTTACCTTAAGCTATCATTTTTATTTCTCTCAAATTAATTGATAGAGAACATTTGGTAGCATGTGTATAATAAGAATTTGAAGTAAAAAATCTTAAAACATAATATATTGTATTTTTCAATGCAAAATAAAAATCCTCTGAAAAGTGAACTGTTCCTGGAATAACTATGCTCAGACTTGTTCCTTGTTTTAAGTACTGAAACCCTGAATTCAATTTCTTAGCTATTAGTTACTCTGCATGCTTGATAAAAAACATATTTTATCTATTTTAATAACAAAATTTCAGGAAACCCAATTAAAGGCTTCATTTAATTGTGTAATCTTCTTTTCTACAGAACTATGGGGCGTTATTTTGTGAAACAAGTGCCAAAGATGGTTCCAATATAGTGGAAGCTGTTCTCCATCTTGCTCGGTAAAGTTTCACCTTATGCTTGGGAAACTGGACGTAGGACTGAGTTTTCACTTAGTTAATGTTTATGTCAGATTTCTTAACCATAACATACAGTTAGAGTATCCTTTACAAAACACTGTCCTATTTTTCAGATATGATAGGAGAAGAAAATACACACTGATGTTATAAGAACTGGTAATGCTTCTGGTTCACTGTGAAGTTGGGCAAAATATCCTTACAGGTACATCTGAGGTGTTGTTGACATTCTGCAAAATGTTATCATATAGCTAATAATGGACTTGTATGAATCATCTCCAGGAACCAGATTTTAAACACAAGAGACTATTGCCAATATAACTATTTATTGTGTCATTTTACTGGGTAAAAAGGTGGGAGAAACAACAAACAGAGCAAATTCTCTTATCATGCCAGTTAGAATCACTTTGCCAAAATTCTTACCTAGGTAATTATTTAGTTAAGGCAATGGTGTTGATAATAAATAATATTTTAGGATGTGTATTAGAATGAAAACCACATCATTAAGGATGTATATAAATATGCCTGCACTTTAGTTCTTTATGTATCCCTAGGAAATAACATTTTTGGCTAGATTTATCTCTGCGGCTTAGTTTTTCTGCCACAGATGTTTACTAGCCTAAAGGGATATGTACCCCATCCCCCAAAAGGGAAAAGAATAAAGATATCAGAAAAGAAAACCAGGACAGTGATATCTAGTTGTAGACAAAGCAAAAACAAAATTTTCGGCATATAATTCTTTTCCTGATGATTTGTGAGATTTTGTGATAATTGACCTCTTCCACTAGTAAACATTGAAAGTTAAATACTTTGCATTATTTTCTATGCTACTTTTAAATTAATGACTTGGTATTTGGAGTGCCTAATTAAATGGAGTTCTGTTAGTAGAGTGCTTGGGCTAGGACCTTGAGCTTAGTGGCTTGTCCTCACCTGAGAGAACAAGGAAACAAGTCAAGGACCTCTGGCAGCCTGCATAGCATTAGCGTGTGACAGGGCTTGGCAGACACCCTGAACTCACACTCAGAGTCTTTCCATCTAACATCAGTTCAAGAGAAATGATCCCCCCGCCCCACATCACTAGAAATTATCTTTATTTAAAGCACAAACCATGTGAACTTTGAATGTAAACTAAAACAGGTAGGAAAAAGGCAAATATCTAAACATGTATATAGATTCAGTTGAAGTACATTGTTTTTGTTTTTGTTTTGGACCAGGAATTGAACTCAGGGGCACTCAACCATTGAGCCACATCCCCTGCTCTAGTTTGTATTTTTATTTAGAGACAGGGTCTCACTGAGTTGCTTTAGTGCCTCGCTTTTGCTGAGGCTGGTTTTGAACTCGTGATCCTCCTGCCTCAGCCTCCTAAACACCGCTGGGATTACAGGCGTTGCCATTGCTCCAGGCTTTTATATATATTTAGTAGGAGAATCCTGGACTGATATCATATTTTACAGAAAAGAGCCATTATATTATATTCATTATCAGCTCAAATAATGAATTCCACATGCCTCTGGTACATAGGGAACACCAGCTGTTTTGGCCTAACAAGCTACTTGTACTACAGGGAGAATTCATTGAAATGTAGTGTTTGCCTGTAAGACAGAGTAATTGTTGAATTAATAAGTATTTTCACTTTCTCAAGTGCTTGTTTTGGTATTTCATGAATATGAGTCCAAGGATTTCTACACAGCAGGAAACGATGCACTTTTGGGTCCTGCTCCACCCACATCTGCCCCAGCAGCTACATAATCACCTCCAGGTCAGTCCTTGTGTAGGTTGAGCATCCCTAATCTGAAAATCTAAAATCCTAAATACTCTAAAAGCTGAAACTTTGGACACAGATGTTAATGGTCAAAATACTGAATTTTCGATCATTTCAGATTTTGGATATTTAGATTAGGGTTACTTAACTGGTACAAAGTCTAACACTCTGGACCCAAGCATTTTGAATAAGAGATATTCAAGCTCTTCATGGTTACTGGCTGCTGCCTGGCATATTAGAGGATTGTGGAAAGAGAAAACTCAAAGTCCATTCTTAAATCTACCCCTAAGTAGCTATGAAATCTTTGTCAAGTCCTGGAGTAACTTTAGGCATCTGGAATTAGCAAAATGAGGAAGGGGATGAATAAAATGACCTTTCCAATAGTAACAGACCATGATTCTTTATATAGTAGACTACACTCTACTGAGTAAAATAATTAGTGTTTAATGCTCAATTGTCTCATGGGGCCATATTAAATTGAAATGCATACAAAATGCCCTGGTCACACCCAAAGTGTGGAATTGATTCTCTTTATTGTATCATAAAGATGGGAGAGGCTGCAAACTGCAGGCTTCCTCCCCATCTGCTCATATGTGACCTGTTGGATCAGCCAGTCATTGGCCCTGTTTATTGTGTAACTTAGACACCAGTTTGTGTTTATTTACTTAAAACAATTGGTGTACAAAGGAATTTTGATAACAAAGTTCTTCAACTGTGTAAGGTAAGATCATAGTTATTTTTTAATCTTTAGACAATTAAAGAAATCAAAAAAGCTTCTTGTGAGTCACCTATCTTGGAGTTTGACATGGAGGTTTTCTTTTTATTGTTATTGCATTATGGCCTGGTTTGGTGGGCCTCTAGTATATTAGTAATATTAGTAATATATTAGTGAAAACTTTGATTTATGCCATCCTCATAGTTCCTTGTCAGAGTACTCAAGACTAAAGTAGAAATGTTATAGTCTCCACAGGTAGAATTATCATTTTTAAAAGTTTTCAACCTTTAAAAAATTGCATGTTATGTAGAACACATAAGTTCTTGATTTAGATCTCATGGGGTGATTCCAGCATTGTCCCTTCTTTACCATGTAATGTCATAAATTGTGAAATAGTATCCTATTTGGTATGCATTTGCACTGTCTGAAACATAGTTTGTTTTTGAAGGGAGGCCACATGTGTTTGGTTAACAGCCTGGACTCTACCTGATTTTTCTTGAAAAACCTCTGAATCCAAGGAAAAATTACTCTTAGAAATGCAATATTCTTACAGTGCCACTAGGTCCAACCATGGTCCTATTATAAATAAATTTGCTAATACCGGAACCACAAGCTTTAAACATTTTGTAGTAAGCCAAGTTCAACAGGCATTCAGTTGAGCAACAGCCTAAAATTGGAGAAAAACAGGAAAAGCTCAGGCTCTATGCAGATCAGCTCAAGAACTGAACTGCTCATATGTGGCCTGTTGGCTACATTGAGTCATTTAAAAGGCAATTGTTTTATTTTTCTGATTGGCACATAATAATTACATATGTTTTAAAATGTAGTTGTTAAGCATGTGGCAGCTTTGGTGAAGTCACTTAATTTTCCCAGGCATAAACCTGTTTTAGATGTTTCTGATCATATCTTTCTGATTTCCTTAATGTCGGCATGCCTGCAGTTTTGATGGATAAAAAAATGAAAACAAAAACACAAAGACCAGGTAAAAGATGTGGGTGTATATTTTCCTTCCTTAATATTTGCTTTCAAGTTTAATAATGTAAGCATTATTATGAAAATTTAGAATGTGCTTAGCCCTCTACCAGGTTCAATAGGATATCAGTGGAATAAAAGGCAAGCCTTGTAGTTTGACATTAGAAGGAAAAATATAAATAAGATATAAATATATATAAAGCCAGGCAAGGCAGCCATATGGTTTGTAGCTGATAAGAGGCCATTGGGTCTCCCAGAGGGAGATATGCAAATCGTCCCATGAGGATACAGTGCTTATCCTGCCCATTTTACAGATGAGGAAACATAGGAATTAGGATATTTAATCAGCCTGATCAAATGGACACAGCGAGGAGGTGGTGGAGTCAGGACTTTCCACTGCTACCCTGAATCACTGCTTGCCACTTCAACGTTGGTCACCTCAGGATTTCACTTTGCATTCACTACTTCCTCTTCCTCTTTCTCTCCTTCTCTCTCTCTGATGTCTTCCATGCCCCTGGCCTCTGAAACCATTTCAAGCTAGTGACTTCCAGTTTCTGTTTTTTTTTTTACCCATTTCATTTTAAAATGCCATAAGCATGTCCTGAACCCTCAGCTGTAAGTTCCATAGGCACAATGACTCGGTGTCTAGCAATCATAGTGGACTAAGAGTCCTTTAAACTTGTTCTTCATCCTGGGTTCTCTTTCTAAAGAGTCTGCCAATATCATAATTAAAACCTAGTCACCCAGGCTCAATCTTGATTCCTTTCCCTTCTTTTCTTGCTTTGTCACCTATCCCCAGTGGGTTCTAAGCCCTGTGGATTAATGACATTGCTGTAATTTCTGTTGAATTCCTGCATCTCTCTTTGTCTCTCCCTCTCTCTGCATTTCCTACCGTGTTTAGTCCAGGTGTTTATGCCTCAGATTTTCTTCAATATGAGTTCGTTCTCTACTTGGTAATTAGTGTACTCTTTATAAATAAAAATTCAATTAATATTTACTCTTTAGTTTACAATCCCACATTAGTATACTACTTATAATATAAAGTCATATATAAATATAAAACAATATAAATATAAAGAGATGCTCATCATGTGACTGATAGGCCTTCATGACCTGATCTTACCTGCATTTCTAGTTGAATACCCTTTTCCCAAAGTGAATAGTACTGTTTGTAGACACAGCAAACTTTGTGTCCATTTTTGGCAAAGTTCTTTTATATCTCAACTTTTATGCACTTGGCAAAGAGTTTGTATTTGGAAATTGCATTGATTTCTTTTGTCTCTAATAAATTTCCATAGATGTAATAGCATAAATAATACATATTCTGAGAATTCGAGAGCACAGAAGTGTAGACTGTCTCTTGGGGAATTGGGGGTGGATTTGTGCATTCAATTTCTTTTTCTGAGACTTTGTTTTCTCATCTGTGAGATAATACTCATGTCTCACCTGTCAGGATGTGTATGGGTGTGGGTATATGTGCATGGTGTCTGCTAAATAAAAAAAATGTAAAAACATGTATCATAGCACTTTTTAGCTGGCCTACAGAAATAATTACTTTCCATTTTTTTTATTTGTTAATTTTTTTCTGCTGAGATATGTAGTTTTTGACTCATAAGTGACTAAGTAAGTAAGTAACTACATAAGTAACTCAGAGGTTACTGTGTCAGTCATCTTTTTGTCACTGCAACCAAAATAACCAACAAGAACAATTTAAAGGAGGAAAAATATATTTGGATTCACAATTTCAGAGGTTTAGTCCATAAAAGCCCATTGCTCTGGACCCAACGTGAGGCAGAATGTTACTGTGGGAGGGCATGGAAGAGCAACACTGTGCACCTTATAGTGGCCAGAAAGCAGAGAGAAAAAGAGAAAGGGGCTGCAGGAAAGATCAACCATTCCAGGGCACATCCCCAGTGACCCACCTCCTCCAGCCATAGCCCACCTGCCCACAGTTGCCATCCAGTTACTCCATTTAGACTAGGATAGACTCAGACAATGACAACTCTCACCATCCAGTCATTTCATATTTGAATATTCCTATACTGACACAGGAGCTTTTTGGAGACACCTCCTATCTAAACCATAACATTCCATCCCTGGACCCCAAAAGCTCTATCCACTTCACAATGCATAGTGTATTTAATTCATCTCTATGTGTTCCCATAGTCTTACTAGTTCTAGCATTGCCCAAAATTCCAAGTCCAAAGTCTCATTTGAGACTCAGGGCAAACTCTTGGCTGTCAGCCCCATAAAAATCAAAAGCAAGACACCTATATCTAATATACAGTGGCAAAGAGTAACATTCCCATTTCAAAAGGAGGAATTGGGGCATGCAATGAAGGAATGGTACCCAAATAAGACTGACACCTAGTCCGGCAGACAGGCCCCATAACTCCACATATTGCCTGTAGGACATGTGGTAGTAAGATGTGCTCTTCAAAGGGCTAGGACAGCCCCACACATTTATCTTACAGATTGAAGTGCACATTGGTTCTCTCTTGGCTTGACTGTCTCCTCAGCCAGCTTTTCTTGTGTGAGGGGGGGTGCACACACAGTTCATGTTACTGACGTATTTTACTTCTTATTGTTTCTATTCCTGCTTTTGCTTCACCTTCACAGCTTTGGGCATTGCCCCCTCACAGTGTCAACTTTCTAGGGCCCTCTGTGCAAAGAGGGTTCCCTGTGTTTTTTTCTCAAAGGAATTTTCCCTTCTTTATTCTTGAGTCTGCAATGGTATAGTCTTACAAATTCTTGAGATACCCTCAAGCCATCTTTCCTATTGTCTCTTTTCAAAGTACTTAGCACATCTTTAGGAAATATAACCTTTATAACCTCTTTGGTTCCAGAGTTACATTCACTTTCCTGGCCAAATTGCAAATTTTGAAAATTATCTAGCTCTGCTTTCTGTTCCTGATTCTCACAGTAAAGCTGGCTGAAAGCTGCAAGAAGTAAAACCCATGCATGCCACTGCTTGAATGCTGTGCTGCCTTGAAATTTATTCTACCAGATTAATTGGTCCACCACTTTTAAATTTAGCCTCACACAAACTCTTGGGACATAAACAAAATGCAGAAAATTTCTTTGCCAGGATGTAACACAAAGGGCTTCTAGTCCAGTTTCCAATAGAGTTCCCATTCCCCTCTTTGACTTCATGAACACAGTCTTGACTATCTCCATTCCTATTGACATTGTGATTTTCTGAGCTCACAGTAGGATTGCTCATTACACTCTAAACATTTTAATGCCTTTCTAGTCTTCATTTCCAAACTTGGCGAAACTCCTCTTGCAAACCATTTCAAAAGGCTTCTGAATCACATGGTCAGGTTGGTCACAGCAATAACCCCGCTCTTGGTACCAATTAGTGACCAAAATACTTGACAAGAGCAACTTAGAGGAGGGAGAGTTCATTTTGGTTGATGGTTTCAGAGAAATGTTTAGTTCATGGTGGACCAACTCCTTTTCTCCAGATTAGGCAGAACATCATGGAAGGGGCAATGGAAGAGGGAGGCAGATCCATTCATGGCAGCCAGAAAAAAGAGAGAGAGAAAGAGGAAGGGGCTGCAGGAAAGATAAACCCTTCTAGGGCATGCCTCCATGGATCCACAACCTGTAACCATGCCCCACCTATAGTTTCCACTCAGTCATTCAAACTAGGATGGGTTGATTAAGGCATAGCTGTCACAATCCAATCATTTCACTACCAAACAGGCATTTTGTGGGAACACTTGAATCCAAACCACAATAGAACACATCAGAACCTTCTGTAGCTGCATTGGCTAATTTGGTAGCCATTAGTTGCTTGAAATGTGGCTGATTCAAATTGAGTTTTCCTGTATGTATTATATATACTGAATTTGAAGAAAGTACAAAAGTATAACATATCTCAGTTATATTATTATTGGTTTCATGCTAAAAATATTTTTTCTATAGTGTTAATAAAATTATTAGTAATCTATTAATAAAAGTAATTTCCCCTATTTCTTTTTACATTTTTTAATGTAACTACTAAAAAAATTTGAAATGACATATGGACCATATTATATGTCTATTAAACAACCTTACTTTATTGAAAAGATTCCTAGTAGTTTCTATTAAACACTCCATAATAAACCATCCCCAAAGTTAGTCACCTTAAGCAAAAACTATTTTTTATTTTTTACAGTCACCAGAGATTGCTGATCTTGGCTAGAAGATTCCTCTACTGCTATTCTTGGGTGTTTTATGTATTTGCAGAGAGATGGGTCTAGAGGCCATGGCTTTGGCTGGATATCTGCAAACAGGGTGTTCCTCCTCGTGGCTTCTCTCCATGTAGCATCTCATTCTTCATGGCACTCTGGTGGCCTCTCTCCATTAAGGAATCTAGTACTTCTTAAATGGCAGCCCAAAGCACTAAGCGGGAAGTGGCTAAAGTGACTGAGATTATTAATACCTGGGTTTGGAAGTCCAGCGCATCGTTTCCTTAATATTCTATTGGTCACAGTCACCAAGAGTCAGCCCTGACAGGAAGGTTGGGGGTAGGCACAGCTCCACCTCTTCTTGGGGAGCACCAGGCATTGAATCTTTCGTTTCTTCATATATAAAATGGCACACAATAAATTAATAGGTTTCTTTTGAAGAATAGGTAAGTGGGAACCAGGAAGAATTTAGAAGTGTCTAGTGGCTCATGCAAACATTCAGAATTGCTATGCTTTTTTTCTGCAGAGCCATTTGTTTGGCAGAATTATTGATGCCATCTTGAAGATAAGCAGTCACACTCATCTCACCCACAGAAATAGTTATTCATCTCATCTATAGTGGGATGCAGGGTCTTTATATTTTGTGGGAGTTACATGTGGAAGGACACTTCCCTAGGGAGCTTTCAGAAGATACTGGAAAGTGGTACATATTTTATCAGTGTTGCTTCTATTGAGAAACTTAGGAAGAAACAAAAGGAAGATATTTTTTTCCCCTGGATTTTAACTGTCCATTATTCAATGTCATTAAATAATGGTTCTAAAACTGTCATTGCTTTGTTTTGGTCAGCAAATCATTACTTGTGGATGGAAGCCACACTCCAGAGTGTTAAGGAGTGAACTGTGCATGTGGCAGATGATACAGCATCCTGAAATTTCAGGAAAGAAGAGAGGCAGGGTGTGTCTGTGTGCATCCTGGTGCTCAGAATACCGGCACTAGAGACAGCCTGTGTGGTTTGAATTCCACTTCTCCATTTGTGTGAACTAAGAGAAAATTCTTTTTTTTTAATTGGTACATTATCATTAAATAGTAGATTTCATTATGCCATGTTTATACTTGCACATAACATAATTTGATCAATCCTAATATAAGTTTCTTAACCTCTTTCTACCTTCATTTCTTCATATATAAAGTGGGGCACAATAAATTAATAGGTTTCTTTGAAGAATAGGTAAGTGGAGGACACTAGGAAGAATTTAGAAGTGTCTAGTGACTCATGCAAACATTCAGAATTGCTATGCTTTTTTTCTGCAGAGCCATTTGTGTGGCTAAGTTTGTACCTCAGTAACCCTCTCCCCCTTGCCTACACCTAGGGAAGTAAAAAAAAGGACTGACGAGGATGACAGCAAATCCATCACCAATCTGGCTGGGACCAAAAAGTCAACACAGATGAAGAACTGCTGCAATGGTTAAACTCCGACATCTTCAACTGATGTACACTTCATTTCCAGAGTACTGAATTTTGTGACCAGTTTGGTTTCTATTAAGGTGATTCACCTTACTGACACTGTCCTACGGAGAGTTAACAGCATGGGCTATCTGAACTGTCTCTTGGGTCCCCCTGGAATCTCAACTCTTCTTTGATGTATCTAGATGAACAATTTGGGCACTTTGGTCATTACAGAGTCTTAAAAGATAACACTTAAATGTTTTCAATGTGGTATTAAAAAAAAGATCACATGCTTAAATCCAAGCTACAGAAGAAACTCACATTACTAGATTGATGAGGTAGTTGACTTTGTAGTTAACCTATGACAATGTTTACTGGAAAATATTTGATGCTAGACACTAGTATGAGCAGGTTCTTATCCTAGCTTCCCTGCTAACTAGCTTTGTGATCTTGGGCATGTCATCAGCACCTTAGATCTGTGTGTGCCCTCTCTGTAAAAGCAGCAGCTGGCCTCCAAAGCCTTGTAGTACCTCTCAGATGCTGTAGCACTGTAAGCAGCAGGAAGGAGAACACGATGACCTACAGTTAATAAGGGCTCTGGTTGTTTCTACTTTCTAAATATTGAAATATTGATTTTCTTACTTCTGAAATGAGAACAGAATTTAAAAATGAGAAAAAAAATGGTCCATTTTAGGCTTCAGTGGAAACAGAGATATCTATTTTTATATATATATAAAATGTTTGAAAAAAACTTGTATATAGAAAGAACTGTACTTTGTAATCTTTATAAGAGTTACAAAGTCCGCAGTTTGAATTCAGTTTGAAAAATTTTAATGACAACATGTAAAGCCACATACTACTGAAAGTACAGAGCTCAGAAAAGCTGTCCCTCTTCATTTAAAATGTACACCAGCCAGTGGTTACCAGACAGAGACTGAGGAAAGGAGAACTGGGAGTGACTGCTAATGGGTATGGGGTTTCTTTCAAGAGTGAAATTGAATTAAAATTATAGTAATTGTTGCATAACTTATTGAATATACTAAAACCACTGAATTTTATACTGTGAATGAATTGATTTTGTGGTATTTGAATTTTATCTCATTAAATTATATGAACACTTACAATGATTTAATGTTTTACCAAATGAAAATATTCATGCTATTTCAAACCTTCCCATGGTTTAGGATATAATCTGCAATATAATACCAATCCCCTAACTCCCTACTTTCAAGCATTAACTTTCTTAAATAATGAAGAATAAAAGAAGCAGTATGCATGGTTTTGGGGGGAAAAATCTATAAAAGAGGAATTGCCATAGAGAATGGTGAGCTGAAGTCCTTTGTTTAACATAACATCTGACTCTTCCCCACCAATGACCTGTTCAGTCTTGCTCTCCTTCCAGAATCTGTGGGGTCTCCAGGCTTCCCTACTAAAACATCTCTAAGAGCCAAGGGAGGCAATATCAGGCCCAAGTGTGGGCCTGGCTTTTAATGATGTGAGCCAATTAAGTTGCTCCCAGCAAGAGATTTGAACTTATCTTAGTGCCTCTAGATCCAGGCTCCAAGTATCTTGTTGAAAAACCTAAATAATAGCTGTTATTTATTGTATGTTAAAAACATTTCTTTTTGTTAAGTTAAAATAATTATATGTAGCAATAATTTTCCTATTTATGAATTTTTTTATGGTCAAATTWTAAATTCCTTAATTTTTAAGCTCTTAAAGCTTGCCAAAACATTTCAAGGCTTTTTGTATTTTTGCTGGGAAGTTGAATCCTCAGTAACTCTACCATGAATTCATGTTTTAACACTTTATGGTTTTCGGTCCCAGAGAAAGATTCCATTTCTGATTATAGTGCCTTGCTTGTGGGGAATTGTCAAAATAAATGGGGGTGGGGAGGTGGGGTGAGTGGTTATTTTTGCTGCACATGGTATGGTGAAATGAAAGTTTTACGGTTGCTGTGCCTCAGTGGTGTCTATAGACCCCAATGAGGTTGGTTGGACATGTGTTGATAAATAAGGCACTCATTTGAGTTTTCTTGTTCAATGTTGTTAGTATACATGTTATTGTATTACATTTATTTATTTCCTTCAAAGTGTCTCTTTTTATTTGTCTTACAACATTATTCCTGTAAATAAGAATGTACCTTTACTATAGAAATCTTATCTTGATCTTTGCCTCTGGATCATGCTGCCAGCACACCCAAATTGATTAGGAGATTACTTAGGAGACTTTGAGGGGCAAACCAGTCATCTTCAACTATCAGAGCACTATACATGTTTAGGCAGTGTAATCCAAATAATAGACTTTTATCTCCGGTTAGCAATGTTGTTTAAAGAAAGCTACTTTAAAAAGAAGGATTCCTTGCTGGTAATCATCATTGTTTACCCAAATTTTTGTTTTGTGAAGTTGTTCTCCAATTTATGATATATTTTCAACAAAGACAAGAATATTTAATGTTTTTAACTTAGACTTAATTTGGCAGGTTTTAATATTCCTATGGATGTAACTTGTCTTGTCTCTGTTTCTCCTTTGAGAGATTTTACAAGCATAATCATACTATACTCCTTTTTTATATACACTGACACATTGGATAATATTTTAATTTCATTATGGAAAATAATGTTGGATAAGGAAGCATTTTTCACTGCTAAATTTAAGCCCTGTACATTTCCATAATTTATTTTTTCCACTTGCTGTTTTATATGATGTATGTGACATTTGATTATTTAATACTATATGTGATTTGCATAAATCCAAGCCACACAACCCTCCTGCTGAAGATAAAATTGAGGTTAAAGATAAAGATTTATTTTCATATTTATACAGTGATTGGCTTCAGAGTGATGGTTTTTGTGGGCTTTTATTGTATGTGTGTGTAAGAAATTTCATATGTATATATTAAGTAGGCCTCTGAGAATTGAATAATTGTTTATGATTTTGATTTATATGGTTTACATTTTCATGGTTTGGGCCATATTTCGTTTATACTGTTTATTTCTCTTCAAGCCATTAATAATTATACCATAAAGTATAATTTTATAGCAATGCAAATATCTAAGGAACTACAAATATTTTGTGCCTTGTAAATTCAATAAAGTATGCTTCTTTTGACCTATTGGCTGCTTCCTTCAGCTTTACTGCAGATACTCTTGAAGCAGTTTTTAATTGCAAGATGTGTCTGCATGAGCCAGTACCTGTACAACCCATCTGTTCTGGCTATGTCAAGCCTGGCTGGTTGGAGAACAGAATGACTGCCCAGTATTTGGTGCTGTGACATAGCCCTGACATCTTGACCAACAGGGCAGTAGGTAGACCAGTGTAGGGCAAGGCAGTCAGGAGTAGTGAGGCTTTTGTAGAACTATTTAAGAATAGGCTCTGGCATCCTCATGACCTTTGAGGGCTCAGCCTTTGGTCTGACAGTCACTTACTCTCTCTGCCTAGCTAAATCCTCCAGGAAGGTTTTTCTGGACCCCCAAACTAAAATGAGGCTGTTTGTTCTCACTTCTTAATGTCCTTATTGACCATACATTTATTTAAGTAAGACTTATGCTCCCTGTTCTTAGCCATTTTGCTGTTACCACTATTCAGTGGGCACAGTGCTTAAAACTTTAATAGTATCAATTATTGAATAGATTATGTGTTAATCAGCTTCCCATTACTGTAAAAAAGTGCCTGAGATAGTCAGCTTTAAAAAAAGGAAAGGTTTATTTTGATTCATGGTTTCAGAGTCCATGGTTGGTAGGTCCTGAGAACATTAGGGCAGACATCATGGCAGGGAAGCAGAAAGAGGAGGAGTCAAGAGTCCCAATGTCCCTTTCAAGGGCATTCCCCTAAGTAACCAGAAGACTTAGAATTAGGSCCCCCCCCCCCTGCCCCGGCTTAAAATTTCTACCATGTCCCAAGAGCATTACAAACTGGGAACTAACACATGGGCCTCTGGGGGACATTCACAATCCAAACCATACTGATTATCAAGAATGGACAGGGTAAATAAGGCAAAATGAATATTTTTTAATCTGCCACAGATTTTATGCAGAAACAGAAACAGACATTTTACTCTTTAGATAATATCCCAAAACTTCTTACCATGATATCTAAGGCTCACTTATTCAGTTAACACTCACTGAACCTGATATTTATTGATTTCAACGATTTCCTAAATAGTATTCTAGACAGTGGGATCCATAGTGGATAAGACAGACTGCCAACAAGATAGCATTCTGCTGGGAGATCAGCAAAAAATTGTGAACTCATAAAGAAGATAAAAAAAAAAGAAGAAGATTCAAATTCTATTTCTTTTGTCCTTTTTCCACCCTCGAGTCTACATTCAAGCACAGGAAACTTCTTCAGACACACCATACTGACTTACCTCCTGCCCTTTACACAAGGTGTGCTTCCTGCCTAGAAGAAACACCACTGTCCTCTCGAGCCTGCCCACCCAGCTGCTACACATCTCAAATCAGCTGCGACTTCCTCTGGCAGCAGTGTCTGACCTCAAGTATGAGCTACATCTGCTTCTCCATGCAGATCTGCCGATCTGCCCACCATGTCCATCACAGCACTTTATCTGACTGACTTGTAATGATCAGTTCAATTGAGTACGTGGCATGTTGAATGACTTCTGTCTCCCTTTAAGTTTTAGTGGAGTAGACTTTCTTCTGGATGCACATCTCAAACTGACTTCCAGTTTCTCTAGATCAGGGTCTTAGGTTTTCTATACCACGGACCTCTTTAAAGCACAGAAACCCCTCAGAATCATGTTTTTAACTGAACAAAATAAAATGCTTGCATTAAAAAGGAAAACAATTACTGAAAGATGATTCCCAAAGTATTATGTATTATATAATATATAAACAGTGTATACATATATCTAAAATATATACACATATGTGGTACATTCATACACACACACATTTCAGTACTGGGAATTGAACGAAGCGTGTTCTGCCTCTGAGTTATAGCTGCAGAACCTTTTAATTTTTTATTTTAGGGACAGGGTCTTGCTCAATTGCCTAGGCCTACCTTGGATTCATGATCCTCCTTTCTTGGCCTCTGAGTACCTGGATTACAGGCCTGCACTACTGTGC